ACGGAAGGAAAATAATGCTTTTTAGACTGATTTAATTTGCAGTTCAATTCATCTGAAGGGCAAGAAGCGTCACCTTGGTTTGTAAATTTTTGCTTTTGCCTTCTTTTTATTCTACGCTGTAATTGAATAATGTCACTTGTAATCCACGGACGTTGCCTATAAACACGTTTTTTCCTTTTAGGAACAAATCGTTCTAAGCAGTGCTTGATAATGTCTTTGAAACGGCACCATAGCTCATCTGCTTTCTTTGCGTCATCGAATCCAGATAACGATGATTCTAGATAATCCAAGATATCGACTTCGTCGGCGTTGTTAGGCATGCACATAAACTACCGGACGCTTAAAAGCCTCTAATGATGATTCAACATTGGATGTCATCAGGGCTAATTTATGGTCTGAAATACCCTCGTGCAAAGACACAACATGGTCACTCATATTTGTACCGACAAATATTAAGTCCAGTACGGAGCTTGCAGTTTTTTTCCACTCGGGTAGCCTCATTTACGACTTGCGTTAGGTTCAGGTTAAACATCATACCAAGAAGCAAATCAGGTGATTTGACGTCTGCGTTGCCAACCTCAAGGTTGCTCCAATCTATTTTGGGCAGATTGAAATCACCAGCAAGAATAATGTTATCTTCGTTAATGAAGTTAGCAATTTTGCAATCGTAAATTATTTCTATCGTGGACAGTGGGGAATCAGGAGGTCTGTAGACAGCTCCTATTGCATACTTTTTGCCACACAAAGTTATTTTGCACCATACACTATCGGTATCTGGAAAATCATCCATCACAAGGCGCACGATTGATTTTTTGAGAATTACAGCAACACCGCCATCCCGAGTTGGGCGGTCTTTTCGTACCACCTTGTAAGCAGGTGGTAGTATTTTCTCGTCTTTTATGTCTGCGTTGAGCCACGTTTTTGTGACAACGACAATATGCGGATTATATAGCATTAGTATGTGTTCTAACTCGGTAACTTTATTCACGAGACTTCTAGCGTTCACATCGATAAGTCTGAGCGGTCTTGCTTTTGTATCCCGCGATTGTCATTGATTTGGGCTTCGTACCTTATCTCTCAGCTTTGTTCGGCTGGTGTTGTTGTCATCCCATACGAAAAAGTCGTTATCGATTTGAATTTTGTCTTCGAAAAGTTTAACTCGGGAACCGTTGTTTCTTTCCGTGCTCGTGCTTTCCCAATGCATTTTGCGTCTACTTGACGTCGCTTGCGAGTAATCGTTTTGAACAGAGATGCTGGTGCCTTTTCATTTCTTGCAGTTCTGAAATACCCGTATTTTTTCGTTGTAGTCCCGAAAGTTCATTATTATTGGTCGGGTGTGTTTTTCACGTTTTTTTCCCTAGCCTATCAATTCGCTCCACTCTCTCTATTTTTAAACCAAGGTGGGCATGAAAAAGGTTTTTAAGCACCACGGATTGAACGTCGTCGCCGGTTTTTTTTTCTGGCTCAGGAATCCCAAACACAATCAAGTTATTTTTCCTAGACTTATCCTCCGTATTCACCAGTGCTTTTTGCTGAAGTTTCACAGTTTCTTGTAGTTGCTTTACCGTAGTAATCAAGTTCCCAATGTTTTCTTCGTTTTTTTGTACCTTACCCAATTTGGTTTCTGTATCATCGATTCTTTTGTTCATTCCATCAAAACTTGCCTGGAGTTTCGTTTGGTTAGCCTTAATGTCTTTCACGTCATCGTTCATTTGCTTTTGGCTTTGGAGTAGTTCTTTCATAATTTTTTTTGAGATCGGGGCAGAAGTTCGTCTCCACATCCCCCGAAAGTATTAGCAACATCCATTTTTGAAAATAGTACAAAACACAACAAGACACTTTGGGGCACAGCAGCAAGAATAGAAGCCTGTTGTCGCTTTTATTGCAGCTACCATATTGTCGGCTACTAAACTGCTTGATGAAAAACAAGAGCGGCATTTCAGTCAACTTGCTCTCAGCCTGGCTGTTGTGCCCACTGAAGGGCGGCGTTGCTGGATCCAGGTTGATGCCGCGGCTGGGGAATTCCATGGTTCCAAGCTCCCGATCTTTCCATTGGTTACGTTCAACGGTAGGCCATGACGGGAATCCTTGCCTGCCGTGGCTCGTGACGAAGATTGTTGAAGTCCCGGTGTTTGCTTGGCCGGAGATTGCTGACGAGCTCAAACCAAATGCGTGCGTCAGCAATACCTGCTCGATGAAAAACAAGACAGGCATTTCAGTCAACTTGCTCCCAGCGTAGATGCTGTGCCCACTGAAGGGCGGCGTTGCTGGATCCAGGTTTATGCCGCGGCTGGGGAATCCCATGGTTCCAAGCTCCCGATCTTTCCAATGGTTACGTTCAACGGTAGGCCATGACGGGAATCCTTGCCTGCCGTGGCTCGTGACGAAGATTGTTGAAGTCCCGGTGTTTGCTTGGCCGGAGATTGCTGACGAGCTCAAGCCAAATGCGTGCGTCAGCAATACCTGCTCGTTGAAAAACAAGAGCGGCATTTCAGTCAACTTGCTCTCAGCGTGGATGCTGTGCCCACTGAAGGGCGGCGTTGCTGGATCCAGGTTTATGCCGCGGCTGGGGAATCCCATGGTTCCAAGCTCCCGATTTTTCCATTGGTTACGTTCAACGGTAGGCCATGACGGGAATCCTTGCCTGCCGTGGCTCGTGACGAAGATTGTTGAAGTCCCGGTGTTTGCTTGGCCGGAGATTGCTGACGAGCTCAAGCCAAATGCGTGCGTCAGCAATACCTGCTCGATGAAAAACAAGAGAGGCATTTCAGTCGACTTGCTCCCAGCGTGGCTGCTGTGCCCACCGCATTCGCGGCTTTATAAAGGTTATTTCTCACAGACATTTAGTTCAGAGCACATGTCCGCGTAGTAAATGTATTTTCGATCAAGCAAAGTTCGTTTTTCGGCCCCTTCTCTTTTAGTTAGATCGTAAACCTCATCTACTAGACATTCAATTGGCTGATCATCACATGTTTTCACCAACGGACCATAACATACTTTAAAACAAAACTATGGTTGAAAATCACACCTGGATCTATAACAATGTGTCTTCGTGACCTTTCGTGTATCCCTGGACACTTGGTGATGCCGAGTATTAAGGATCGAACACTCCGTTATTGCGCCATGCCGCTGTCACCTTTCAACGCCGAATGTAATTTGCGCATTCGCGACGACGCGCACTCTCAAAAATATGGGGTGCAGTACTTACAACCCTTGTCCCATATAATTCATTCCAAGACTTCAGTTCGACGTACCGCGCACTACCGTCGAATTGAAGGTACCGATTTCTTGAACGGCTTGATAGCCGAGTGGTACAAATTATTAAGATAGCTGATGTACGTGTTACTAAATACAAAAAAAATCGTTTTTTTGGCCCTATTGCAAAACCTGTCTTTCCGTAGTTTTTGATACGCATAGCTTAGCAGTTTAATAAGTTTCATCACACCATTATCAAGCCCGTCGATAAACTTGGTGCTGTCAGTTCGACAGCTGAGCTCTGTACGTGGAACTTAAGACTTGGGGTGCATTATAGGGGGCAAATAGGTGTAAGACTACACCCTTCTTTTTTTAGAGTGTGAGGCCCTTGGGCTTCCGGCAACTACATTTACGAAAAGCCTAATCGGAAACTCCGTCACTGGAATTCACGTTCTTCGCAAACGCTACTGACTTTCCGAGCTTTAGTTAGCCAACGTAACTAGATCAAAGTCGGTTTGACAAGCCTCCTAGAACGCCTAGCGCGTATTCGCGGCGCGTGCGCTCGGTTGTACTCACTACATTATCAGCCCGCCCCGTGGACAGAAGCGGCAGAACTAGTGTACGGCTGGATGCACATTACCTGCGGTAGAAATGCATAATTTCGAGGTTTTTATTGTAATCACAAAGTTTGCGCACAAGTCAGCGCAAAACGACCGCCTTTTGAAAACGGTCCTTCTTTGCCCGTGGAGGCGTTGACGCTGGCGGCGCTAGAACTCTGCCTCTATCTGCTGGCGCCCAGGCAACAGATAAGAACAGTTTTTGAGCGCCTCTCTTCTGTGCAACGAGGTAGACGGGCTTAGAGCGATAAACCGGGGTTCCGGTCTGCACTCGAAAGTGACCCCCATAAGGCGGCTGCCATTGTACGCAAATTTAACAACTCGTCACATGATCAAACCAAATACGTGACGTCACAGTAAATATGGCAGCGCCCATGCAGCGGCTAGCCCCAGCTGGGCCGGAGCTTGTCGGATTCTTTGTTGGTTGTTCGTCTCGGCGAGCTTATTTCAGACGCGGAAGCCGTCATATGAGGCCGGTCGAAAGCGACTTCAGAGTTCAGCGTGGTGTCTGACGTAGGTATAACGTGAAAATACGGAGGAACGGTGTGCATTTCGCTGCTGACCGACGGGTACATTGCCACGGAAGAGACAATCTGCCCTACGTTGCTCGGACCTCGGATTCATTCGGACACCGCTAGGATACATCTTAAGACAACGTTTCTGTGCTCACGATGACCATCGGAACCTTCAAGATCTGCTGTGAAGCGTGTGCAATATATTTGGATACACAGTTTAGCGACGGAAATTGCATGAGTCGTGCTTGGCAGTGTGCAATCGTGGTGCCGCTTCGTTCAAATGACCGAAGGCTCACTTTTGTTGTGAGCTGCATCGGAGAGCTGCCTTGACGCTTGTAGTTCCCCCGCTCCAAAAACCCGCAGAGCCATGGGGTTATGAAACCGTGTGGGTCCCACAGAAATTGTGTGGGTGTTCGGGTCCCTATGGGTCCCCGCACAGTTTGTTTGGGTGTGCGGGTCCCCATAGAGTGTGTGGGCGTATAGGTCCCCATGGGTCCCCGCACAGTCTGTGTGGGTCTACGGGAGCTGTGTGGGTCCTGCAGAGATCCTATAGGAGCTGTGTAGGACCAAAGTCCCGTGGGAGCCGTGTGGGTAACCCATAGGGTTTCATAACCCCATGCTCTGTGGGCAATCTCTGTGGGAACCTGTGGGGGAATGCATGCTTGACACCGTATTTCACTGCAGACCATTGCCAAGAACCGGCTGGTTCTATTTTTATTTACCGATTGGCTCTTCATTTCTCTTGCTTTCGCCGGTCGTTCATTTTTTCTCCCAGTATGTGGTTTACTTTTGCTGTCCTCGACATTACAGCAATGACATCTGCATGGTACTTTTGGCCACGGAGCTCCATCATTAGGCATTCTGAAAAATATGCAATGACAAAATATTTAAAGGAGCACAATTTGTAGACGTAAGGCTTGAACTAATGTTCATTAAAATCACATGCCACATCACTTTCATGAACAGTTTCATTTGGAATAGCCTTTAATAATGACGCTCTTGAAGAATGCGATTGCAACATGCCCTATAAAATCAATTAAAAAGTTAATTGACAAATCTTGGTTAATTAGTCAACATATTGTGACGGTTATCCCCTTATCTATGTCCGCCGAGCCCCACAAATCTCTCGCCCTCTTTTTTTAAATTACGTTCAAACTAAAATGGCACATTCTGTATGATGCTGAACCCGATTATATCGAACTTTGTATCAAACTTTGTGAACAGACTAGTAGCTGCTATAAAAATGCATAGCGAAAAATGCGGTTACGTCGAAGGAAAATTGCAGCGTCTTCCGATAGATAGAACTGCCAAGAGCGCCGTTTAGCTTTGCAAGCTGGCTTTCCCCCAGCACGGGGACGCATTCGGGGAAAGCCAGCTTGCAGAAAAAGCTTGCCTTTTTTGGGCGGGAGTGAGGGAGGGAGGGAGGGAGGGGGGGGGGGGGGGGCAACCGCGTCGGCCCCCCGGAAGTGGGGAGAGGATGATCCGGTGAGATCTTGAAAAACGAAGAAGCGGCCACTGAATAGCCATGTGGAGTGTCCCTTATGACGTACAGACGCTCCTTCGAGAGTAAACAACTTTTCTAAATATGTCGTGTTTGTTTGTTGTCAGATTCATTCAAACTTTCATGTAGAATTACCCGCTATATCGAACTGGTAGACAGTCTTTTGCGAGTTCGACATAAGTGGGTTTGACTCTATAGCAATTCGTAATCATCGCCATTTGAAAGCTTTTTATGTCCAGTTCCTGGTTTTGACAAGTATTGGGCTTATGAAAGATACCGTCACAATGTCACCGTTTTCCACCATCAAAAACCCTAGAAAAAAGTGCTGGTTATACCCTTAATGTAATTTTTTTACACTTACGCCTGACTGCACGGGCCGCTAGCAAACGCCAAGCAGGCCGAATGTTTGAGACACAACATATGGTGCCCCTCTCCTATCTAATGTTTGAGCAAGCCAAGATAAGACCATTAAAAAAGAAGTACAATGCTGATGCAGAATTCAGTTTAGAGAAAGTGATTAATGTCACATTCAATTGGGGCGCACGCAGCACCGAGAAAGTGCTGCCCCCAAGGCCGCGCCACCGCGCGGGTGCAGCGTATGACGCACTACCAAGTGAACGCGAAGCATTCCGCCGTGCAACGCGCTTGGCGCGGTCAATTCAAGGGCAAAACATAAACGGGTGGACCACTGAACGAAATCCGCCGCGAGTGGGGCGGCGGCGCGCGCCATCTAGCGAGGGTCTCCCGAGCCGCCATGTTTACCGAGACAAGGAAGACTAAGCGAAGGAAAGAAGGGGCCGAAGGAGGCGGAGAGCGGTAGCTCAAGGCCGCGCCGGCCCGCAGTGCGCGAAGCTGCACAGTCTCCTTCCGACGGTGCAGCTGGTGCAGCAACGCGCCGGTGTCGTGCGCCGCACCAAGTCCCAAATGAACGTAGTGCAGCCGCACCGACACGACCATATGAACGCGACGCGTCCGTCGGTGCAGTGCGGTGCGGTGTGGTGCGCCCCAATTGAATGTGACATAAGAGTGTACAAACATCCTACCAGTCATTGAGAGTACTAATATACATCACATATTACAACCCTGCTTTTATTTGCCACTGCATGACAAGTACTTTGAGCTACTGTAATTTTAAACAATACCTACTGGGAGTTAACAATGTTCCATGGGCACATTGAAGTGACCAGATAAATGGGCATATTTCGCTGATATATTACAAGAGAATGCCTGAAAGCGGTGGTTTTAATATTTCAAAGATAAGGACATAAACCCCCTTGCGTCAAAAAGAAGAAGAGAATTGTTGCAAATTGCAACAATTCTCTCCACGAAAAGAAAATTTCGCAGAGGTTTTTTTTTTTCTTTTTTTTTGTGAAGACATCAGTTTATTCAGGGTCACTATAGCATGTACTGCAACTGCAAATGATTGTAATAAAAAGGAAATGCCCTACGCATTGCTTACTTCATATAGCCGAAATAAAGGCCAGTGGCACAAAAGAAAAAATATAAATCTGGTGTTGGCACGCAAAAAATAAAAAAAATATAGCTTTTGTGTTTACCGAGGTTACCTAATCTTCCTATAATTTTACTGAAAGCTTCCACCATTATGTCACAGCTGTGTGCTCAATCCTATCAGTTTTATGCGGTCCATCCAAAGATCACCGAAACATTGTGAACTCCCAGTATAATACCAACTAGCTCCCAAGATACTGCCTTGATTGAGAAGATTTTTCAAATAACTGCTTAGGTTACGCTTACGTGAGATAATTTGCACTCGCCTCTTAGGAATGCCGCTTTCTTGGGTGTCAGAGGCAGCCTGCTGTCCTTGTTAAGACTGACATTCGACGCCATTTCGGCCACAGTCCTCTGCAGGACACTGGACCCCCACAGAGCAATGGCCAGGTTCTTCACAGCAACGCTTGACCTTATGTCCTGGTTCACTATGTTGTCACCCCAGGCTTTCCACGTCACCTTGACATCAACCGTCGTAGAAATGCATCTATAAAAAATTAGAATAGGAAGCGAAACCGGTGTATTCGGTGGTGAGATCCTCCTTTCATGAAATGCTGCTTCGTGCATATTGATTAAAGCAAGTTTCGTTAGTTTAACTCCTTTTTTAGTTGAATCATTTTCAAAAATCCTGCGAAGCTCCCATACAACACTACTACGGTGCTCGAGCTATCAAGTTCTTTTATTACGTTCTCTGATTCTGCCGCTGTCAACTGCAAGGGGTACTGGGTGGCAAGCCCTCTTGTAGTGTCGGCTGCTGGCGAAGATTATTTGGCCGGCTCAAAAAAACCTGACAGTGCGATCACTGGCTGGCCTTGTGATTTCGCTCTTCCCTTTCCAGCCCCCTTTGCCTCCTTAGATGGTGTTTCATGAATCCCCCCCCCCCCCCCCCCCGCGCCTTCCCCCGAACTTTTCGGTCGGCGTAATGGACAGAGAACATGAGAAGATGCGCCCACTGATTTAAGTTGCCGGTGCAAGGCGCGCCACTTTTTTACCTGTGTGCGGGGTTATCATGCAACCTCGAGCGTGGCTGGGACTATAAAACTGACGCTTTAAAAGAAAAGAAGCCACTTTATGCTCCAAGAGTGCTGAGTTTCATTCCCATGTACCTGGTGAACATAGGAAGAATAGACCATTTTCAAAACCTAAGCAAGCAACATTGACAGTCGCCATTTGTTGGACATGAAAGCTGTGATTGGATCGAAGACCACGTGAAATGCTGACCGTGGCACTCACGTCTATCCACGCCAATCACTGACACGGCGCTTGTTTCCAACGAGTACTCGGAATCCGCGTTTAAGAAATGGCGGCCTTGGATATGCACACACTTCTGAAAAGGGTTTTTTGTATGGGCCAAAGGTAATTAATGGGGAATACGATGCTCCAAGTCCTTCCGCCTAATGCACTCAAAATGTTGAGCAGAATGTTAGAGATGCAGGTTTAAACTTTCTACAAAGAGATGTCGCCTTAGATATGTTTTTCAAGACACTAAAACTTGGGTCTTACACCACTGCTGAAGTGATGCAACACCAAAAAACAATAATTTGTGGCGATGGTGCTGAAAGAGAGATCTTATTTGAGCAACATTTATCGAGATCTAGATGGTCAATGACAAATTGTCAAGGCCTTTTCATCTTGAAGACATTGTGCAAGCATAGAAATGCCTTCTATCCAGAGGTATCTCTTATAAAGCAAAAACTTACCAAATCAACTTACCATTTCACATTCTAGGAAGTTTAGCAGCTGATATGGCTCCACCTCAGCGGGCTCTTTAGCAGCTGCCTCAGCGGATGCAGGTCCGACTGTACCAGCTGCTCCATCTAAGGTTGCAGGTATTGCAGCTGCACCACCGAAGGCTGCACCTGTGTTGCACATGCTCTGCATCACAGGAGCTGGTGCTGCTGCCACTTGTGAAAAATATAAAAAAATATATGACATGAGTCAGAACAATGTGCAGGACTGCCACATGATGTGTGTAATGCTACAATAAAAGGTGAGAGTGGGAGTGGGGTCAACCAACCACCCACCAGCTTGGAGCAATGCGGCTGCACTCCTGCCCGTGTATACATGGAGAGCAGTGCCACATAACACAAGGCTGATTGCAGTTTGGTCCAACCCATACGCAGCTTCTATGACACTGTCAGCCAAAAACTTAATAGGTATAGTAAGGGTCGTGGACATGACATTTATGATGCTTTAGCTTGTCAAAGAGAGTATGTTGAATGCATACCATGCTCCTGCAGTCAAGTATTCGAGGTTAGGAAATAGCACGGAATATTTTTCATAAATATCTACTGCAAAGCTTTGCAACTCAGGAGTGTTCTGAAGAGTTTTACAGATTATAGCTTCTTGACTACACGGCTTGATAGACCGAGTAAAATGTTTTTGGGCATAAGTGAGGCAGAGATGTACAAGAATCCATGCAAAAAGTCCGCAGTACGTGGAGACCAGAGTTCGGAACAGGTGTGACAGCATTTGGCACGACAAATATGCCAATGTCATTATTTATTTTCGCAACATTAAAATGACTCTGAAAATGCGACCAGCTATGGGGTGTATTCACGCAAGTCTTGTGAGTGTTGAATTTTAGGTACAGCTCCTGGTTGTGTCCTTGTGCGATATATGACAAAATATTATAGATAATAATACTGGAAACTTCTCTGAAAACCAATGGGCACGGTGGCGAAGGACGTGAGAGGCACTGTTTACCACTCTTGCCGTTCGTTTGTGTTTGTGTGTTGTTACTTATGCCCGAGTCCCACTAGAGCGACAAACAGAAACAGACGACACCGACAAGCCTTCAACACATGCGGTATCCTCGCGATGGTATACCTTTGGCAGGCGTTTATAGTCGTTCGGTGCTCGTGAAGCGACCCCGGGTGATTGCAAGCCTGCCGAAGATACCCTCGCGTGCGTAATACTTGTATCCGAGTGTAGCCTCTTTTATTCTATGCACAAGCCTGTGAAATCGCGACAGAGACTCTGGTTTGAGGCTCGTCGCTGTCGTTTGTTTCTGTATTGTCGCTCTAGTGGGACTAGGGGCTAACAAGCGCACCAATGGGAAGGCTTTAGCCATTATTGGGAACACTAAATAAAGAAATACAAAAAAATACAACACCCAGCAACACTGCATGCAAGTAGTGATGCACTTCTGTTGTCAACTCTGTATTCCGCTTACGAATGAAATGTGCAATTTCCCTAGAGGCTTTCATTCCAGGCGAGTGGCATCAGAATTGCTGAAGGCCAGCCCATAAACACAGTCTATGTTAAAACAATCCCAGCAACAATAAGTTGCTATTGTATTGCCCAATATATAGAGCACCTTACCATAAACAGCCTTGGCAGTCTCCCATGAAGCCTGGACTTCAGCAGAGGAGACTGTCATCCTGTGTCGTCCCAGGACACTCACATCGGGATGGTGAAAGTGAATGCCAACTTCAGCTTGGCAAGGGCTGCAGTAAGTATAAAGATGAAAACAGAGTACAATATACAGTAAAAAATATTGTGGACCAACTTAAAAAAAGTGCACAAAAAAAAAAAAAGACAAGGACAAAAGGACAGGAACACGTAGAACACAGACAGGTGCACACTAGCAACTCAATCCATTAAAAACAAAAGAAAGAAGAGAGCATCAGAGAAATCAAAAAGGCTGTGCTCGGAGAACTGAGCTTCAGGAACCGTGGCGCGAGGCAAAGATGTCAGGTGGATTGTTTTACAGAAGTTCTAGAATTAAGAACATCCTTTCCATGTAGTAAAGTGGTGAGTTCATTCTAACTGAACATATTAAAAAAATAGTACACAAAAAACAAGGAATAAAGGGTCGAGGAATACATACACTACATACAACTGCAGACTCCCAAGTCACATAAATTATAGCAAAAAAAAAAAAAAAAGAATTCGGAAGGAGTTTTAGCAAAAGTCTAAACAGGTCCAAGTGGAACGTGTTAATTCAACCATAGCCACAAGGCTAAAAACAATTTCCTTGTTAGCTGAAGTAACAGACGAATGTGCAGACACATTGGTTGCCCATACTACGAATAATAAACGCCTAAAATAATCCTCTTTTATGTTTTTCATAGTATATGCTAATTATCCACGTTTTTTTCTAAGGATGACATACACGAGCAGTGTAAACAGTGGATAGATAGCTGACAGTCCATCGTGAATTTTAGATAGAAATTGAGCTGTTTTGATGTATTAGCCATCGATCTGTTACCTTAAACAACGAGAAAATTGTGGTTTTAAAATCTGCACTTGCTAATGGGTAAATCAGCGCGTTCCACTTGGGCCTCTGCTCGAGCTCCTTCCGCATTCTTTATTTCCTTCTTCTCTGTTTATGCGAGGTGAGTCTGCGCTTGCATGTGGTCTATGTGTTACCCTCCTTGTCTCCATGACTTTTTGTGAACTAATTTTCAAGGTGTTCAATTAGCCCCAGCTCATCCCCTTACTACCAAAAACAATTACAACCTACACCATTCACTAAAGGCAGTACCAAAGAGAAAAAAAACGGAATTGGGTGAGGTATGAACACTATATACTTACACTGAACAAAATATACCTCCCATAAATTGGCGCGACACAATTCAAAATAAGGACACGCTTGTGAACTACCCCAGAAGCGGTGTCAAAACTTTTTTCGCGGGCACAAATTTTTGCGATCGCGAGTGGCATGCTATGCATTAATCACCGCGGGGTGAATTTACCGCGGCACCAATTTTTGGCAATTCTTTTCCGGTTATAAATCGAGAAAATGAAGTCGTTTGCAGGCGACTGGGCGGCGGAAGCTACGGGCCTGCTCGATCAATCAATCGCTGACTTTTGCCTGGTCCAGCTCTCCGGACGCAAATACGCACACAGAATCCACCTGTGGTGTCAAACCTAGAGCTTCGGCGATGGAGGGGCACCGCGCTCTTCCAGACATTCTAGTTTACCAGTAAACAGTACGGTGGAGGGAGGCAATCAAACCACCCACCCCCCTCCCTTTATTTTTCCGTCTTAGCATGCCTGCCTGCCTGACTGCCTGCCCCCCCACCCCCCCGCCCGCCCCCATGTCCCGAAAATTTCCGCCGCTACTGATGGACCTGGAGCGAGTATGCAGCCTAAGCGCTCATCTGTGACCGCTAATTGGTGCGAGGATGGAGTGCTCTGCATCGGGGAAAAAAAGAAGAAACACAGCCTGGCATAACACCATTCGCGCACAATTAGTAACAACGATACAAGCAAGTGATCTAGAGACAATAACGAACATTATGAAGGGAGGAAAGAATAATCTAGCCCTAACGAACAAAGAAAGGAACTTACTTTGGAACGACCGTGCCACGATCTCGGCTGTTGAGCAGATTCGACGTAGTTGCACGGCTCACAGTAGCTTCCTTCTTTTTCAGACACATTTGAATCTAAGGTGAACTCCACGCATCACGAATAATCGGTAAATTTACTTTATGACGGAGATTTGAAACACACACGTACAACGCGACCGGCAAAACGTGCAAAATAAGATTGTGGATTATATTGGATCGCATTCGTTGGCTATTATGGATGCCTAGCGACTTTACCGAGGCTATGCTCGCGTATCTTCAACACGCTTGCAATAAAACGATCAGCAAAGCGCTTTAAAACGATTAGAATACACAGTAATATTAAATTATTGAGCATGTCAACATCACCACAATGTTAGAAATACAATCCTGAACAGGTAGCAAAAAATTAAATACGAGACTAGCCAAACAATGTTTAAAACAAATTCAGCAGACATAAAAGTTCCGAGAAAAACCGCTTCAACCGATGGGGCGCGTGACCTATCTTGTTAGCGCGCTATGCTGCTGATCGTATGGTCGGAGGTTCGAATCCCAAAAAATTAAAAAAAAATTTCTAATTTTTTTTTTTTTTTTTGTCTTTATTGATTTAAATATTTGCTATGTTTTTTTTTTTTTTTTTTGCGGTCGCCGGCCCCCTACTTTCGGGTAAAAATCACTGAAAATGTAAAAATAGAAAGTACGAGCCCAAGTTTGAATTTTGATACATGCACAAGCCGTGGCCCTCTTGTTTTGCCGAGATAATTCGCTCCCTCCGTGCTAATAGGTGGGTCAGTGTAATAGGCAAGCGCCGCAAATCCTTTCAACGAAGTAAGGAAGGTAATAATAATGGGAATATTGAGAGAAAAATGGGAAAATGCGTAAGTGGTCAAACTAGCTGCCACAGTGAGGCAGCCAAAGTTCGACTGAAGGCGGTCATCTTTACCCACTATTCAAACGAAAATACCGCTACTTTAAGGCAGTTATTTGCCTAAGCTCATAGCGCGCTACGTATTAAGCACATTTCTAAATTTTCTGACTACCGGAAAGTAGTACTTACTTTTGTTCTGGTACATCCTGGTTTCACTTATCGGGGTTGCACTCCGCAGTTTTACTTCTTTATTAGGCCTAGACATGTTTTTATTTCTGACATCCAAGAACAGTGCGGATACTTAAACTAGCTAGCAGAAACGGTATCGTTCCGTGTTATAACATTTGTTTCGTAGCGTCAAGGGGCCACGTTCACAAACCCGGCAGGGCAGACATCCACAGCGCATTGGTGTTTCTCGTTTTTTTCTGCTAAAAAAAAAAAAGGAACTTTTTTTTTTATATTTCCGCTTTTCTGGTGCGGTATGTCTATAACATAAGCTATCGGGAATCGGGCGACAGATCGTCTGGCTATGTGAACATTTGAAATATTTCTGTTAGATGATCGTAACTAAGACATTTGATTTCTGCCTGAATCAGCATATTTTCACACTCAATTAAAACCACCAATAACATGGTCTGAGGAGAGTTACGTACCTCTCGTGGCGTCGTGAGCAATAAATACAATTACTTTTTCTGGTTTCTGGAGAGTAATGTTTATTATTGTTTTTGAAGCTCAAAGCGGGTGCTCAATCCTGCCACGTGTTTTTTTTTGTTTTTTTTTTCATTCGGAGGCTCCGCTACAGTGGCGTCACAAGGGGGGGGGGGGGGGGGGGGGTGTCGCGGCAGGCTACCGCCCCGGGTGCCCCTGACCCTCGCGACGCCACTGATCCGCTATACCGTTTTTATTTTTTATCCGAGTCAAACACGTGCGTATACCACCGGACGTTAAGTATAGTGCATCAAATTAAACTAGATTCCTGAAAAAATATCGTTCGGCGTTGTAAAATTTATTTTTCGTGGCGTACGTGTTCAGATTCTCAATATCCTAAATGTGCTTTCCTCGCCGCATTGTTTTTTTTTTTTTTTTTTTTTCTCGTTTTCGCGGTAAAACACGTCATCCTTGGCACGCTGGGACCAAATACGCCAGCGTCGGCAGTCATTTACGAAGGATTTCTCAACGCAAACATTTCCCCTCGCTATTCATGCTATTCATGCCGCAGTTGGTCAGAATCTCAATGATGTGACTGCATAGTGAAAACAGCAAAAAAATAAAAATAAAACGATGTCGGTCAGCAAACGGAACTTGAACGGCAGGACTCGCCAGCGTGAAGAGCAAAGCGCAGATTCCAGAAAGTTACTGAACTTCCATGTAAATACTGGCCATCAAAGACAGCAAAATACCGATGCCGGCCAGTTACTGGAACCTCCATGAAAATACTGGCCAGCAAAGACAGCAAAAACACAATTCCGGCCAGTCACTGTAACCAGATCTTCTCAACTGGCCAGTTCGTAAGATGAGACGCCAACGCCGGACGGGGCCGGTAGCTCAAGGGCGCGGCGGGCGCCGCATCCTGTTACAGGACCGGCCGGCGTAGTCCCGATACCGACCGACACGGTGTGCTACCTGGGCACAGGCATTTTGCTCAGGAAAAACTGCTTGCTTTTTGTTTTACAGTCTGTCTCCATATTTGTCTTTTTAAAACATGCTCTTCTTTTAGACTTAATCAATATTCTGCTGCAAGATGATTGCATTTGTTCATGTATACTCATCAGTGCACTAGCTTTTTTTCTTGTTTTGTTTGCGCTTCACTGGATATCTGTATAACAAACCTAATAAGAGTCCAGATAAGTCATGTCCTGCATCTAATTTGTCTGTTGCCTATAAACATATAGATTTATTGCTCTGCATTTTGGCAATACGCTTTTTCGCTAGAATACAGAACTCATAAGGTCACAACACAGAACACGAAACTGACTTCGGAACAATGTTGACATAAAGTATTGATGCCTGTGCATTAGTAGCCCCATTTCGAAGAAAAGCCCGCGTGGTCGACGTCGTCGGCGTAGTGTTCTGCGCACTGGGATGAACGATGTAATTAAAAAAAAAGACTTACAAAAAAGTTATATTTTGCATGATTTCTGTAGAATATATCTTGAGGGGCACATTCACAGGCTTCCTATAGGCGTCACACATGTCCCGTGTTGCTACACAGA